TTTGCGGTGAAATAATATCCGGCTAAAATATAATAAGAAAAAGAAGAAAAACAGAAAATAAATGCATGAATCAGTTTAATGTGCTACGCTCACACAAACACACATAAATAAAGAGAAATGTCAGCATTAAAATTCAATTTACATGCTGCTCTCAATAACACACACACTCTCTCTCCATAGCTTCCTCATCCTGTTTTTCTTGTTACTCTAAATGACATAAAAATTCTTTTTAGTTTGTATCATAGACCACTATGGAAAAGTTAGAAGTACTGGACGTCTGTTTCGGTCTGGTATGGTATTCTTCCCTCAGCAGTGCATTATTCACGACACCACCACAGGGGATCAGACCCAGGACTTTTAGTCTCCAGTAGAGCGCTTAATCTCTAGAATGGTTTAATGTATCACTGGAAGTAATTTAATTCCCGCTGAGAGGAAAAGAACTCAGGTTCAAACAATTTGCTCAGAACTAGTGATGAGAAAGTACAAAATGTAAATAGGTTATAATTACACTTTTAAGTTACTCAATAACACACAACATAGGACCGGAATGATAATATGTAACGCTTCAAATTCATATTGGTTTAAGCGAACACTAACTAGGAATGTAAAGCATACTATGATATAGATCACGAACCGATCAATGTTAGCTCACCATTAAAAACCTGGAAATACCGGACGGCAGTTTAGCCCTAGAATGAGACGTCTCAGCAGTTTATATTCACGATTCGCATGCGAGACTCTGACAAAGGACCTTCGGTTCATCATTTCAACAAAATCCAAACAATCTCAAAAACCCTACACTAAGAAAGAGTTCGTTCATTTTACAAAAAAAGAAATGAAACTGCTTTGATATTATAAGAAACGAAACTTCATTCAGAAATTAAAAATATAACGGTATTTGATGAACAAACTAAAGTTGAATATGATAAAAATTAACCCTAGGTGATTGAAGGTAGACAGTGAAAAAAATCTAGACAGGAGGGCAGTAGAGGCCTGAAAAAATGCAGCAGTAACTTTCCAAACTTCGAACTAAGTTGACTCGAATCCAACAGGAGACATCAGTTCCCCTAAGACTGTAGGTGTACTCTGCTGATAAGTATATGTCACCTGCTCAAAATCTAGGTAAAGGGTCTCCTATCAACCACGTAATATAGGATTTTATTCATAATAACTTTAAATCGAATTAAATCTGTCATATCACTGGTCAAGTACCACTGATATCACTTATTTTTCATACTGTTAATAAAGAGGGTTTGTATTCTTACTAATATTCATATTCAAGAGTTTGGTTAGTATCTCTGTAAGCATATACACAGATGCCTTGAACGAGTGCCTGGATGCACAGGACAAGTAGATACAAGTTCAAATTTAGTAGTAAATATTAACAATGAAAAATTTAAAATCGCTTCCTAATAATGATATATATTACACACGTTAAACGAATTAATAAAATTATGGATTCAATAGCTTACCAAATAATACATTGATATTTGAAATGATAAATACTGGGGTTCAAGTTTATATCGGCGTGGTAAAATAAGAACGTTGGTTTGTGATAGAAAGCGAAAAAGTGAGGTCATGAACTTTTTAAGACTGTTTCTTAAAATTTGATTAAATAATTCACCAAGTATATAGGTATGAGCCACACTTTAGTTATAAAGACTCACGATATAACCCTGTTGCCCAGACTGAAGTAGATAGAGTGCGGTTCGAACTTGGGACTTAGTGGCTAAAAGTCAAACATCTTAACCACTAAGTCACCAACACAGGACGATAACCGTTTAACATAACGTTTGATTGCGTATTCGGATAATTTCAGTTATTAATTATTTCATTATGATATACTACTGTATACGGATAATTCTTGTTATGCATTCATTCACTATGATTTATAGTTATAGTTATTTAAATTTAACTAATGTTCACCGCAAAGTGAAACTGTATATGAATAAGTGGTGTTTTTCCCTAGAATAAATTCTTCACAATCAGTCAGGTTTAGTATTATTCTATTTCATGGCTCAGTGAGATATAAAGTTTATACAGTGCTAATCACACCTATTATCAAGTCCGAGTCCCTTTCCAATTATTATACTAAATCTACTAGGTCACCACCACCTTAGTATAACTAGGTGATAAGTCCCAGTTACGGTAAAATCCACATCATAGGTTTTGCTGCTGCTAATCACTATTTAAAAATGTATAATTTCACAAATTGACAACATCATCAAGTGTTTCCTTTAGTTGTAATTTTTAATGAAAATGAAGTGTAAATATTAAGTTTTCAATGGAATAAGTTAACAAGTTGATTGGCCTTAATTCAGTCAAGTTACATAAAGAATACAGTTTAATGAAATGGGGAGCTGTTCTCTTTTTTTTTCTTAAAAAAATTAAGAAAAAACTTAATTTAGGGTGAACTATTTTGTTTACCTTAAACAATGAACAAGAAAAAAATTTTCTTTGAAAGACAGTTTAAATTGTAAAGGGAATAAACTAATAAATAAAAATCATTAAATACTCAGTAAACAATTGTAGATTCATGTACTCAACATATACATAAACACATTTTTTGCAAAACTCAGTGATACTATACGCCTTCAAATTAATTATAATCCACCTACGGTATAACATAATTGTGTGTTAACCCAAGTCCTCACACCAGATTTTTTATGACGAGGTGAACTTAACGAAACTAGTGACATAGCGACAGAAATAATGTAGTAATAATGATAATGGGAGAGACTACTGATTGAGAATCCCGTTCAAATAGACAGAATGGAAAGGTCGTGTATGAAAGAAGACTGAGATGATAAATCCGCGACATTGCGACCGATTCTAGACTATGTCACCTGAAATCTCCAGCTACTGACCAAGGTTATCCCCGTAGAGGTTCAACCAAATAGTCTTGATCTACTTACATAATTCAGACCAACGGTTAATGACTTCATAAATCGATGACAAGTAGGTGAAACAAAATTCAAGAGTATACATTTCAGAGACTGAAAGTGAAATGCGTTATCCACTAAATCATTAATCCATACAACGGCTAAGTGAGAAAAAAATATAAAGATTGTAAAAGAACCTCCAAACGACATTGCACGGGAAACACATTTTTGCCTTGGACAAACAATCGCACTATTTGTGTCTCAGTGATCATCCGTTGCTCAATAATTCTTGAACTGATATCAGTCAATGACGAAAACTATCTTCAAGTATTATGACTTTGATATGCATACACAAACAGGAATATGACATATTGAACTATTGAAAATACTTGTCTTATGTCATGTGTAGAGTGTTGTGGTGCATTGATTCAGTTTATTTACCAGGTGCATACTTATATACTTGACTTCGAGAGGTTTAATAACGCCATTCAATTTTCTGTATCGAAGTAAAGTGAACAGAGTTTAAACCTACGACGCAGCATATGAAGTATTAAAGTTGAAAAATTCTCGAAAAAACATATTACAGTTTAACACGCCCAACACATGTTAAACGATCAAAGTAGTCAATCATAATAATTATTGTTAATATTATTAGCAATCGACATAACCAAGTCATCGTGACCTTGAGATATAAAACAATGATAAACATAGCAATAACAACAAGTTGGAAGTAGGGGAGAGGGTGACGAATAACAAACGGAAATAAAACTAACAAAACAACACTAATATTGCTTAGCAATATTATTGATGTGGTATAATCTCAAGCTTATAAAGAATAAGGTATCGTGAAAATGCGCACGCACACACAAATCATAGTTCTATTTTGTTTAGGAATATGGGGAAAAAAGGAAGGAAAAAAAGAGAATAGAAATGAAAACGAAAATGTAGTGAAAACGCCAGAAAAGATCAAATGAATTAAAAAACGACTTTAAACCAAATCGAAATAAAATGGTAGTGGTAATATCAAGCACTGAGTTAATAAACATTCACCTTTTTCAACAATAACGTTTTCTTTGACTTCTCAGACATTTAAAAACACCGAGATCAGCGAAGGGATCTCTTTACAACGAAATTTTAAGCATTCATTCCATGAACTCATATAAGCAATGAATAAACATGATGTTATAGAAAGATTACGTATTGTAAACAATAACAAGAAAAGATTATGGGTGTTCACATTAAAGCATTGTAAAATTAATAAGTCAACAATAAATTATAGTGTGAATGAAGTAAGAAAATTAATAATAGTAGAGGGGTTGAATCAAATGAATTAATACTAGAAACGACCATGAACAAAATCAAGGGGATATGAGAAATAATTTAAAAAGAGGAGAATATCTTCAAAAGGGAGATCGGTGCAAATAAAAATGTTATGCCTAAATAGATAAATGAAATTCGCTCAAGGAGTATTAGAAGTGTTATATTATTGCTTCCTTCGTAAACTGTAGTGTTATCAGGTTTGTTTCAGGATTCAAGGTTAACAGTCAAGATCTGTAGTAGTGTAGATTCGCCTATCACACACAAGCTAAAGAAACAGAATTAGATATTTGATACGTATAACACTATAATTTTCACCTCATAATTGCAAAAGATGACTTCTCACCATCATTTTAAACGTTCTCGTGGAGAGGGTGTTGTTTACGAAAATGAGAGGACGAAAAGCGAATGTCAGGCGCTTTAACCGGATTCCAAACCAATGGTGCACATGGGTTCCAGTATCCTGAGGGAACAAATGGCGTATGAATCAATCGTTGTTTACCGAGTACCATGGGACTGCATCTCCTCACGATGCTCCACTGCCTTGTGGATCAAACCTTCAGGTCGAAGGCTCGGGGAGTGACCCCTAAGAAAACCACGTGCTTCGGTTTGGGTACCCGGGCAGTATCACAGCTCTCATACATATCGAATGAGATTTGTGTGGCGCATATGTATTTGGTGCCTCCTTGTACCAATATCTATGTGTTAAAATAAATTTTATATATATATATATATATATATATATATATATATATATATATATAGAGAGAGAGAGAGAGAGAGAGAAAAACAATAAATTACCTTGGTTCGCGAACTCCATATCCCTGGTACCGACATTGAACGATAATCTTGTGGTGGTGGTGATGATGAAGATGTAATATTATTTCCAATAGAATGATTTTTTGGACTTATCATTGAAGTATATTCCGGTGGGGATTGAATACTTTCTTGTGAATACCTATGTTCTTTTTTAGGCATTGTAGTCAATGAGGAATGATTATGACTATGATGATTAGACCGATTTGAAGATATCAATGTGTTATCAATAGGAGAATTTGATGTTGCAATTGTATGAGTTGATAGATTAAGTGTAAAACAATAAGGATTATGATGATGAAGAGGAGGAGTGGGAGTTTCATCATCTCGATAGTGAACATCATTATGATTAGTTTCTTCATGAAGACTAGTACTATTGTTTACTTCATATGAACGATGATGATAATGCTTATTACCATTACCATTACTATTATTATTAGGCTGTATGGAAGAAAGTTTATTAATACCATCAGTAATAGTAGTATTTACTATTGACTTGGTATCTTTTTCGTGATTCGGTGATAAATGTATGGTAGACGACATATGATTGGTATCACAATGCGATTTATAAGCACACAATGCTGGATGTTGATGAATATTATTAAAGTGGTAGTGACTATGATTATGATGATGGTGATGATGTCGGCGATGACGAAGTAAATCATTTGATGTAGATGTCTGTGACTGAAAGGTAGAGAAAAAGAGGGAAAGAATAGAATTTACATTGAATTTCAATGTTTAAATTTAAAAATATGCATAATAATGAAAAGGATTTAAAGAACTTATTGATTTGCACCTAAGACTAAACAATTGAAGGTCAGTAATTTTTCAAGTATCAAGATATCATTATTATACGTAATACATTAAGCGAACTAAACCTGAAAATCTTCCAAGTTATTAAGTCATTTTAGAAACAACTGAATTTATTCTGCTTCCTTCGAGCTAACCGTTTTTACAATAACTATTATTGACTTTATTGAATACCTACTTTAAAAACTTGTAATTATTATTTTTATCACGGCTTAGTAAATTTATAATACTTTCAATGACTCATTAGCCATGACCTCTACATAACCTTTCGAATTTCTTCAAGACTACAAGTAAGTCTTGCTGAAAAGTATCAACTATTAGCAAGAAACCTAGTCCCAGGATTTACCATCAACTATCTCCAACCATCTAACAAGTCAGTGCTGAACGATTTTACTCATTTGTAAAGTTATTCAGTTGTTCATTGAATGCAATATAAGAAAGATAACCTCAATACATTATAGTTATTATCGCTAGTCTTCTGGTGAATCTACAAGGAAACTACCATTCAATCACACTTACTATGTTTTCAGAAACAAATAAGTAATCTGTTTACAAATTCAACGAAGCATATATATATAAAAGATAGAATTCTGTGTTTTAAAATGCCAAATCATTTATACATTGTTTACTGACTTTAAAAAAACGTAACATAGTAAGCGGATAGTTTATAATGTGAAATGGTATTAATGATTATATATACACAGAAAAAGCAAATAAACTATTCCATAACACACGGTATATTAAATAATTAAAGAAGAGACAAATTAGACATACTGTTGGATTTTACACACCACATGACATTAAAAATAGAAGAAAAAAAACAAAAAAAAAGAAACTATCTCATTTATACGTATACATTAAACGTATGTGAGATCATTCAAGACTTGACCAAATAACACATATCCTACACATTAAATATCATGTTAACATATTAGTATCAAGACAATCATTATTAGAATTGATTGATTACTGGGTGGTGATCAATGTCATGTGTCAAGTCCTTCTTAGTGCAGATCGAATGCTATCGACCAAGTTGCAATGTGGTCACTAGTCTAGGTGACTCAACATTGCGTGCAATCTTGAGGGAATACGGGATCGATTCCGTCAGGGAGCACCAGTTCCTTCAAGATTACAGGTACACTTTGCTGACGAGCGCCAAGTAGCACGAAACCCGAGTCCAGGGTTTCCTGTTGACTACCTCTAAGAATCATCTAACATTCATTATTAATTATGTCCTACCTACATTCTTTGGACTGAGGTAATGATGTATCATATATATGCATAAATCATTTACCATGTGCAAAGATTTATTAACTTGACTTTCGTTTAATATATTTCTTGTAGATTTGAGTCAACTCTGCACGTAGCTCTTCTAGGGCTACTGTCAGTCCCAAGCCTGGGTAAAGGAGGAAAATTGGGTGTGGGGTCAGCATCCCCATCCTGTAGAAAACAACCTTGCTAAAAAACGCTAACCAGAAAGTAAGATTTGAGTTATTCAGTTAGTTATAATCATTTGAAATAGAGACGGATAGAAATTTGATAAGATTGCCACTACCGAGTTGAGAAGACAAAATAAAATAACAGACAAGCTGAATAGTAAAGAAATTGAAATGATACTGAGAAAAGTTGAACATTTAGAATATAGTTTGTAACGACTGGATGAAAAGGTATGTAAAGTAGAATATTGGTACTCAAGGTGTAAAGAGAAGTAAGAATTCAGTGCATCTGCGTCACTGTGTATTAAATGATTTTAATTTGTATATTTAAATTCTGTCATACCTACATATATCCCATTAACAATAGCTATCACCTTAAATAGTTAGAGTTGTGTGCCGTGACGTAAAAACTGATGGTAGTGATATTCATGTGGAAATCTTAAGATAGTATCATTCCTAACATTTTATTCTTCAATATGTTGTTTGCTTCATGTTTAAACTGTATTTCCTATATTTCGGTAGGTTTTCATTGTAACCGGGATTATTATCCGTTTCCCAAACTTAACATCATTATTCGCTGAACTGATGTGAGATTGTCGGAGAAAATTTATCCAATGCAATTCTTCGTTCATGTAACATTAATTCAATTTGTTAAATTCTTTAACTAATAATCACTAAATTTAATTGACATTATCGAATACATTGAAATATAAATAAATTTTCTCTAATCTCTACCAAAGTAATCTTCCTTAGAATACTTATCTTTTAGAGTAGCTGATATTTAAAAGAGAAGGAAATTGTTGTATACCGGTATCAGATTGATTAGATTTATTGATGTTATCTCAAACATAATAGACACACACACACACACACCCATAGATGGTCATACATTTACACTATTACCGACTAACAAGTGTTTTAAACACCATAGAATATAGCTTTCTTATGAGGGGAACAATGACTAAAAGGAATTAACTAGTTTTCTTTTAATAAAAAAACTGTCTAAACAAGTATAAAATATAGTTGTACATATTTATACTGGTTTGAAGAATATGAAGATAAAAAAGTAGCGAATAAAGAAATGAAAATTAACTTCATCAACGTTAAAATAAAAACATACTGAATGAATGAAATAACAGACTTATTTACAAAGACATTTATCTACATGCATGTATGTGCATATATAGTTATGAATACAATGACGCGTATTAAGCCTTGGTGACTATGAATTAAATAAGAAAATAGATAGTTTGATTTGTAGTGATTTGAATTATCCCATTTTGATAATGTTAAATGAATTTCGAAAAAAATCTTAATTAGTACATGTGAATTTTGTGCGGATCCCCCCGATATATAGCAAGCTTTTACTAAATAGATTAATTGTGGGTAGCAGTGAAAGCTAATTTTTGTTCAATTCGAAACTCATCAGTTGGATGTACCCACATCCGAATATGATAATGTTTACACTGAAGGACTCTAACCCAGTACCTTCCGCTTAAAACACACAATACGCATTATCCACTTAGCTACTGAACTCAGATACCAATTGACTTGTGCAATGAGCATATATATATATATATATATATATATATATATATATATATATATATATATATATTAAACAGTGTAAAACATGTTAAACCAGGCATAATATTATTGCTATCGTAACTATGTATCTACAAAATGAAAAAAAGCTAGTAATAATGATAAATAATCCTTGATGCCACTAATCTTATTACGAAATTCATACATAACAAATGAACAAATCAGTGTACGAATAAGTGAGTGGGTGAATGAATGAATAAATTATGCACTTCGAATTATCATTTTTTTTAGAAAAAAATACTACACAACCAGGCTTCAACACGTATAAAACATATAATACTATGAACTAAGAACGAAACATTATTTTAGTTTAGAATAAACAGTTTGTTTAATGCGGAAATGATATGTGTTAAATTGTCAATTGCATGTACTTCTAAATGCAAACGTAGTGCAGCGAAGCAATTAATTGATTAATTAAATGAAGAATTTAGCTTTTAATTTATAGTGTTTTAAACACGAACCCTATTATATGTATCTTAGTTTAAGGAGTTAAGTTGATCCATTATAATAAAAGTGAAGCTTAAAAATCGAGTGCATAAAGCCTGTACTTGATAAATTAGTTGTATTGATACTATTATTATCATTAACATTAATAAAACGATGCATACATCAGCAGTGGAATTACTGATACAGACATTTTATCCTACGGATAGTAATATGAAATTAGTTGCTATATATCAGTTGGTTTATTGAACAATAAACTATTGTAGTTTTGTCAAATAGTGAATACTTCATCAGTCAGGTGTCAATATGAAAGGAATTCGACAACTTGGGAAGTAGTGTTCCTAATTTTACATAGAACAAACGGAGTGTGCTTAGAAGTGGAGTTCAAAACGTGCTTTTCGACCCATTTGATGTTTGTCAGTTGGGTATGACTGCATCCTAGAGTTGATGTCCACTACGAGATTTATTTGACTGACCGAAATTCAGTCAAAATATAGATAACGGGATCACTACAAACATAACAGATAAAATTAAAATTCATACCGGTTGCAAGTCAGTCAGTCAGTAAAAATGTAGAACTTTGTACCTATTAGTACAGAGATGCAGTTGTCGACTCAAATCCCGTAGTGGTAGAGGTAGTGAGAGTATAAGCAGTAATCAAAAATACCCGTTACAAAAGTAAATTGCTATCTGGACTCAGTAACCGAGTGGAAGCAGATAACGCACTGACGTTTAAAGTGAATGGTATTGGGTCTGAACCCCGGGGTGAACACCAACTCTAGGATGGAAGCACATCCATTTTACGAATCGTATACAAGTCGAAACTCTATCTCTGAATCCCACTCCTAACTACATTTCATCTATTCTATGCATAAACATGTGCCATAATGTTTCTATAGAGGTATTCCACACAGGATTCATATATGCCAACTAAGACTAATCAAAATTCATTCGAAATATCAACGGGATAAACAAACTATTACAAATTAAACTAGAGTTGATGAGGACTGTAAATATGATCTTTTTTAATTTTAACCAATCACGAACAGTGGTTGGTTATGTGTAAAACAAGCAAAAGACATCAAACAAAGTGGTGATCGTAGAAGTTAATTTGATAGCACTGCTAAATCTGAAAAGACCAATGCCGAATACAGGTTACAGTTAACAAAAACCAACAGTAAGGTTAGAATAAGTAACATAGTGCCTGAGTAGTCGTCTTACATACAAACAAAAACATGAATGCTGGATTTCACTGCTACTCAACAATAAGAATAGTATTTTGAAACACCATGTTTTTGTAATTTTCTATCTTCACTGTAAAATTGAGAAAAACGGTGACCATTAGTCCGCTTGTCCAACCAGAAAAGTAACATTTTCCATGCAATAGAC